CGACCATTAAAACGTAAATTCATTTCAAAGAAGTTTGGTTTGGTGAATATATGTAAATTATTACTATGGAATTATTATTCATACTATCCATGATGTGAAAATATCTGGCATCTGTATTATATTGCTATTATACGTTGAAACATATATCTACAAAGTTAAGATGAAATGCATCTGGAGCCACGAACAATTCTTAATTTCAGAGCTGAGGCAATTTAGACTTGCCAAATTATTCTAGACTTCAGTCACTGTTGGATTAAACTTTTAGTATTCTTCGAGTTAATTGAGACAGATACTACTGAATAACCAGTGAACTAGAATATATTCCGATCTCTTGTATACTCTCAATTTGTCTCTCAACAATATGTGATACACCTGGAACAAAACTAAGCACCGTCCCTTTATATTTTCAAATATCAACAGCTTCCATGTACGGCAAATATAACAGTGATGATAGTGATCTAATTTCATAAGTGTCTAGGGGTGATTGGGTAGCCTAGTAGTTAAAGCGTTCGCTCATCGCGCCGAAGACCGGGTTCAATTCCTACAATGTGTGAAGCCCATTTCTGGTGTCCGTAGCCGTGATATTGCTGGAATATTGCTAAAGGCGGCGTAAAACTAAACTCACTCATTCACCCACTCATAAATGTCTAAGGTGGGACAGATATCTGTAGGAACATTAAATTGCATATTCCTTCAGAGATGTCGCAAGGAGGCGGTGTTAGCAAATGTAAGGGTCGTGAAATACCTATTATATTAACAAATACAATTCATTGCATATCAACAGTTACAAATCATTGGATAATCGGTTTAGCTTTCTGTTTCTGAATCTCATCATAACTGTAAATGTCATCTGTTACTGGACGTCTCGTCAAAAGGGGGGCGGTGGGGTAGCCTAGTGGTTAAAGCGTTGGCTCGTCACGCCGAAGACCCGGGTTCGAACCCCCACAAGGATACAATGTGTGAAGCCCATTTCTGGTGTTCCCCGCAGTGATGTTGCTGGAATATTGCTAAAAGCGACGTAAAACCAAACTCAGTCAGTCAGTCAAAAGGGAGCATCGTTTTCAACATGATTTACTCACACTGTGTCTCAACGTTCTTAGTGTGTGGATTACACAGATTGTTGTACCACACCATGGATGTACAAGTGAACCGACAGGTAGGAGTAATGTACAGCGATCTGTAAAATATACCCTTGAACAGACCAGATTAGGGTACAAACTTTGGATGTGCCATTTGACTGGTATTAAGTGCTTAACAAAACATTACGTTTGTTGTATATTATGGTTATTACACGTATCATGCTGAGAGAACATTTCACACATCACCCTTCCTGTTGATCCCGAGTCACGGCATCCACACATAAAGTTCCGCCGCGCAAAGAGAGCCGTAAACCAGCTTACATCCCCTTATACGAAGGCAGCAGCAAACCTTCCTCTGCTGTTCTTCTTCACGCCCCATTATTGTCTTTCATCTGTACTGTATATTTCACATCATGCAGTATATATGACTGTTTAGATCTCACACTGTCGATGTCAGAAGTTGAAAGTACTTTGTCTGCATTCGCTAAGTGTAGGAAGGAAAGTGAATGAGTGAGTGAGCATATCGCGTAACGCCACACCATCAATATTGCAGCCAAAGTGGAGTACAAAACATTGATTTAATCTAATTTCGGAATTATCCGAGGAATTGACAAAGCGGTCATTACAAGGTACAGGCTGTTGTATTACTAAGTCAGTCATAGTATTGTGATCATCTTTGGGCACATGGTCCTGGGCCTCTGTTCCTGAACTCTATCTTAATCCTGCGTTATCCTATTGGCGTCTGGATCCTACGACTATCGTACAAATGACTAACCAAATTGGTTCGTCATGTCGGGACAGTTTCCTATTCCAGTCAATGTACCATCTGGATCCTATTACTAGATACCGTCTGGATCCTATTACTAGGTACAGTCTGGATCCTATTACTATGTACAGTCTGGATCCTATTACTAGGTACAGTCTGGATCCTATTACTAGGGGCAGTCTGGATCCTATTACTAGGTACAGTCTGGATCCTATTACTAGGTACAGTCTGGATCCTATTACTAAGTACAGTCTCTGATCCTTTTACTAGGTACTGTCTGGATCCTATTGCTAGGTACCTGTCTGGATCCCTATTACTAGGTACAGTCTGGATCTTATTACAAGATACAGTCTGGATCCTATTACTAGGTACCGACTGGATCCTATTACTATGTACCGTCTGGATCCTATTACTAGGTACAGTCTGGATCCTATTACTAGGTACAGTCTGGATCCTATTACTAGGTACAGTCTGGATCCTATTACTAGGTACAGTCTGGATCCTATTACTAGGTACAGTCTGGATCCTATTACTAGGTACAGTCTGGATCCTATTACTAGGTACAGTCTGGATCCTATTACTAGGTACAGTCTGGATCCTATTACTAGGTACAGTCTGGATCCTATTACTAGGTACAGTCTCTGATCCTATTACTAGGTACAGTCTGGATCCTATTACTAGGTACAGTCTGGATCCTATTACTAGGTACAGTCTGGATCCTATTACTAGGTACAGTCTGGATCCTATTACTAGGTACAGTCTGGATCCTATTGCTAGGTACAGTCTGGATCCTATTACTAGGTACAGTCTGGATCCTATTACTAGGTACAGTCTGGATCCTATTACTAGGTACAGTCTGGATCCTATTACTAGGTACAGTCTTGATCTTATTACTAGATACAGTCTGGATCCTATTATTAGGTACCGACTGGATGCTATTACTAGGTACCATCTGGATCCTATTACTAGGTACAGTCTGGATCCTATTACTAGGTACAGTCTGGATCCTATTACTAGGTACAGTCTGGATCCTATTACTAGGTACAGTCTGGATCCTATTACTAGGTACAGTCTGGATCCTATTACTAGATACAGTCTGGATCCTATTACTAGGTACAGTCTGGATCCTATAACAAGGTTCCGTCTGGATCCTAATACTAGGTACAGTCTGGATCCTATATTACTAGGTACCTAGGTACGACTGGATCCTATTACTAGGTACAGTAGGATCCTATTACTAGGTACCATCTGGATCCTATTACTAGGTACAGTCTGGATCATATTACTAGGTACCGTCTGGATCCTTTTACTAGGTACCGTCTGGATCCTATTATTAAGTACATACAGTCTGGATCCTATTACTAGGTACCGTCTGGATCCTATTACTAGGTACCGTCTGATCCTATTACTAGGTACCGTCTGGATCCTATTACTAGGTACAGTCAGTCTGATCCTATTATTAAGTACAGTCTGGATCATATCTGCTGATCATGTGTTCCTCTCTGAGTATGTTTCTTAGCTCGTGGATGTCACTTGCTGCAACCATCACTATGTGCGTAACGACCATAAGCGTAGACGCTTTGTGATATAACTGGAATACACTTTAAAGCTGTCTTGCATCAAAGCACTAGTCCACCAAAACATGTACATCATTTAAACCTTCGTGAAGATAAGAAATAGAATTCATTTTCAGCGATCTATGTTTGTCGTAAGAGGCAACGAAAGGGATCGGTGGTCAGACTGGCTGACTTGGTTGACACATGTCATCATGACATCAATCAATCGGGGCTGCCTGACCTCGAGTCTAATAATTACAGACCCCGTTGTACAGCTGGAATAGTATTGGATGTGACGTTAAACAACACACAAACACACTTCCAGTACGCAAAGGTCTTACAATGCATACGTATAAAAGTCTGGAACTCAGCACCGAACTGCATGAAGCTAACATCTTCATCTCTGATAGAACTTCATTGCTGATTTCTTAAAACGCCACGTTCACCATAGTCATTTGCACTGTCTGAACCAACACACCACACAAAAACCTACGTCATAAAATTGGGTGGATCAAAAACCATGATAAAACTGGGTCAGAGTTACCTATTTTGTATTTACATATATGAGCTTTGTTGTATCTAGGTCAGGGTGTCCTCCTTAGTTCAACGGTCTTTCCACGTCCCTTCATCCCAATCTCTTGTTATTAGTCGTGAATGTGGAAGGGGAAATAGTACATCTCATTAACCGGCACATTACAATGACTTGAGACGTTAATGTGTAATTTACTCTGAAAGACATGTCAACACATTCCCACCATCTGATGTGAATCACCAGCCTGACCGAATTATACTTGGTGATCTCACCCCTTGAAACAAGCGGCATATAATTGTACTACTCGCCTAACTACAGCTTCCATCTTCAAATATAAAAATACTTGATAGATACACATGATAAAATATTAAAACGAATGTGAAACAGCAGCCATTTCGCCACCTTCTCCTAGTTGAAATTCATCACTGGGACTTGATAGCATATTCTAATAAATAAGTATGTTATTAATAACTATTATTCTACTAACCGTTTAAGTAAAAAAAATGAAATTGAAAACTCCATCATTAAACAAGGACAGTTGGATTTATTTCGCTTATTTAATATGAAAAAAAATCTTACCTTTTACTATCAAGCGTTTTATATCTGTATTTGCTACTAGTCTTATCTTGGTCCATATTTGAAGAATTGTTTTATTCATTGAAATGACTTTAATACTAAGCATGACAGTGTTCCTCTGATCTTCCATGCAGCTTGTAGAATAGCTGTAAATAATAATGTTCATAAATAAATCCCCAGTTTGTTTACAAATCAATAATCTATTATCTATCGATGCATCAACCACGAAGTGGGAGGGGAAAGGCGGGGCTTATTTCGACTCCTCCCTTCTCTGACCGACTGAGGCTATGGATGTACAAATCTGTATGATTGCCATTGTAGAACTATATGACAGCTGGTACTATGTATGGATAATGTATGCAAATAGCACGTCGTCGTGCGTAATGTCATGTGATTGATGACGGCAATACTGTCGGTATAAATATCGAGTATGGGCTAAAAAATATAAAACCTGTAACAGCATCACTCCTTGTAAAAATCACAAGACCATGATGGAATCCGTGTTTCTTCGCGCCTGGTCAACCCATGTCGATGATGGTTTTGTGTCGTTGTTCGTCACGTGTATTCTGTTTGTCATGACTGTTTGCCTCCTGGTATATTGGCACCGAGAGTCTCTGGCGTGCCTCTCCCCACGGGATGGCAAATCTCTACCCCCGGGGAATAATGGCCTGCCGTTTCTTGGCGAGACCCATCTGCTTGCTTCACAGAAGGTTCGTCTGAATATTGACGTTTTTAACAGGTTTTGATAAATATAAATGTAAATATTATATGGAATATTATATGGAATATATTGAATATTTAATTTATTTTTTTTCATCTTAAATTAATTGAATAAGTTAAATTTATGATGAGTTTACCGTTAAATGGAACTTACATGGATTGACAAAAATCCCAAACTGGTTACATCTTTAAGGCACTTCTAAACCTATTGAGGCGTTCAAAGTTGATTCTATCTTTTCTTACGAAACGTACGAACTGGTACAATTTTAAACAGAATCCTATCAAATCGACAGGCTTCGGACTTGATATGGCGATGATCAATAATGTATACAGTTCTACTGGTAGCCTTGTGGAAAAGTGTTCGGTCACCCAGTCCAAAAGCGGGTTCGACTTTCCACATGGATATAATAGGGCCCGTAAGTAGGTCACGGCACTTCGCGAGACCTTAGTACTCCCGTACACAGCGTACACTTGGTCCGGTCTAGTAAAGTCATATTTGGAACCAGAACTGGTTCTTGAATATACGCTTTTAACCGGAAATATGGTATCGGAATTAAACTGAGCCCAGTCTCGCATATCGCAAGTTTGCGCGCAAAGGGAGCCGGGAACCAGCTTAGTACCGGAAGTCCCTATATGTTAAACCAGCTCTCTCTTTTTCTGGTCGGGAAGATAACAATAATTTCAATAGATACTTTCAATCACGTTCACTCAATAATGTTCAACTGCAAAGACTTGATTCTCTAGAATTTTGTGTAGTCGGATTTATTCTATCTTTACAGGATGATTTCTTCCGTATACGTCGCACGCAGTTTGGCGCCATTTTCCGCACGCACCTGTTCGGGTGTCCGGCTGTGCGGGTGACTGGTGAGGCAAACATTAAACAGCTGATACAGATGGAGGGTCGTCAGGTGAGGTCCTTCTACCCCGTGTCGGTCCGACGTCTCCTCGGTGATAGCGCCATTGCAACCACGTCTGGACCACATCATCGTGAACGGAAGCGCCACCTCACTCAATATCTGTCCCGCGACTTCTTCCAAAACCACGTACCACTATTCTCAAAGGTTGTCAACGAGCACCTTATGAAATGGGACAAACAGGAAGTGATAGATATGTACCCAGCATGCAAAGCTCTCTCGGCGGAAGTTGCGTCACGGTTCCTGCTCGACATGGACTTATCGCCGGCTCAGCTTGACGAGATCAGAAGTCTGTTGTCGGAGTTTACAGACAATTTGTTCTGTTTTCCTGTGTATTTCCCAGGCACAAGCTATTATAAGGTAATCCACGGTCATTCTGCAATGTTTGAGGGCATGGGTCTTCTGATTATCGACCTTGTTCGTCAGTTGTTTTTAGTTCTTGTTTGTTGTTTTACGCCGCGCTCAGCAATATTCCAGCTATATAACGGCGGTCTGTAAATAATCGAGTCTGGACCACACAATCCAGTGATCAACAGCATGAGCATCGATCAATTTGGATACGATGACATGTGTCAACCAAGTCAGCGAGCCTGACCTGCCAATCCCACTAGTCGCCTCGGGTTGCTGAAGACCAATTCTAACCCGCACCATCATGAGGCTTTATTGCACACAAAAGTGTCAAACGTCCATGTCACTGCGTATCAACTTAATGTTAGAGGCAAAAACCGAAATGATACAGGTCTCCAGATGTCACGCACAATCATAGTTTTACGGTTCTCAACCCAGTACAGCGAATAACGGTGCATTCGGGTAACAAGTGCCCCAGCTCTGTTATTGAAGTATATACGGTCTCATCAACAAATCGTTATATGTATTTCAAATATTGGATGTTTTCTAGTCACTAAGTAGCAGCAATGTATTTGAGTTATTGCCTTTCTATTTTAGGCCTACAACGCGAAGAAAAGACTGTTGACAATTATGGAAGAGATCTCCAAAACTGAGAGCACATGCAACAAACAGACATCTGTGCTTGCAGAGACGTTGCAGCCCACCTCAGACCTGCACGGATCCCAGACCCCACTGCAGATGCTGGAAACACTCTTTGAACTGCTGTTTGTCGGAGCCGACAACAATGGCTCGGGGATGTTCGCCATCATCAACCTTCTTGCCAGGCACCCTGAGGTTGTCAACAAGATACACGTGGAACTTGAGGAGGCGGGGCTGGTGGGTGGAACTGGTGGAGACCACGCCCCTGAAGATATCACTTTGGAGCAGGTGCGCGGTCTGCCCTACATTCGGGCAGTGCTGAAGGAGTCTATGAGATTAATGCCCCCTGTTGGCGGTTTCTACAGAACTGTCACGGAAGCCTTCACAATCAATGTGAGTGTTCCACTATATTACAGTGTTTCAAAAGCCCGAAATACCATAATAAAATTATCATTGCATGGAAAGTTTAAGTAACTAACACATATTTAAATAATATGCACGGTGTTCCAGATAACTTGATCAATGAAAAAGGGTCTTTTCCCCCATAAATGTGTAACAGGGTTCTTATAAAGCGGAGGCGGTTGGGTAATCTAATAGTTAAAGCGTCCGCTCGTCCCAATGAAGACCCGGGTTCGATTCCCCACGTAGGTACAATGTGTCATGCCAATTTCTTATGTCACCCGCCGTGATACTGCTGGAACATTGCTAAAAGCGGCGTAAAACCATACTGCCATATTAAAATCCTTTTAGTGTTAAAACAACGATGGTAGTGTTCAAGTCCCGGATATTTGTAGTGGTATCTATATTCGTTTCTTCTTTTTCAAGTTTACTGATGACCAAGAGCTTTGTGGCCAAGGGCTTTCCTCCCACGTCAAACTGGCACTCACTCACTCACTCACTCACTCACTCACTCACTCACCCACTCACTCACTCACTTACCCTCCCATCCACCCACTCACTCACTCGGTTGTCTGATGTGTTCCAACCACAACGTGATATACGATAGCCCCTTACATACATTCGTGTTAAATATAGCTTTAAGGCAGTCACCCCCTTTCATTCGGTCACCGTCACAAGTGACCCGAGGAGTGTCGACTCAACCCGGTGTACTCCAATCTGACCCGAGGTGTTCCGACATGACCCGATATGACCTAGTGTGACCCGCTCCGACCTGACATTGCCTCATATCACCTGTCACCTCAACCTTTGTGCTCCTGGGTGGTCCCGGCCAGAGCATCCGCTACTTCAAATGGTTATAGATCAGCATTTCTACTCTGACATGCTCCTCAGCGTAGCCTGACACCATAACCTAGAGAGGGACGCGGGTTTGGAAAATACAGCACCCAGTATACAGAGTCCCGTGTACTTTGCTGTAGCAGTAAAGTTGATTGACCAGTTTAGGAAGGTGCTTGTTGGTACAGTGCACTCTGGTTATACTGCCCCTGGTTATAATGCCACCCTGGATATAATGCCATGTTTTCTCCTGGACAAACGGTGGCATTATAACCAGAGTATACTGTATATAAGTCCACAGACCACTGTGAAGATTTTGAACACGAACACATCTCAACTGGATAATTCTCTAGCCATGTTGGAAAAGGAAGTCATTTTGCGATTTTGAATTTCGCATTTATTAATCGTGCAGTTTTGTTGAAACTCTGAATGAATTAACCACTGGGTTTGTTCTTATGTGTCAGTCCCATAACCATATCTATTTCTCTTTGGGCGGGTATTTTCTGCATCACTTGTAGTAGACAAAAAAAAAGAAAGTAAGCTCTTGTGACTTAAATAGAACTTGCCTAGGCTGGTATTTTGCCCAAACTTGATCCCACTTACAACACACGTAAGTGGATTGACGTTTGTTGTGATGCGCAAGTCTTCGTTTCTTCTGTATTACATATTTTCATGAAATCCTTTTCCTATTCGGCTATAACTATGATGTTATGAACAGGTTGGCAGATCAGGCAGTTGGCCATACACCTAGAGATTGAGTGAATGAATATTATTTTACGCCGCAATATTCCAGCTAGATCAGGCATCCTGTAAATAATCGAAGTTCTGCAAGGCAAACTAGTATCAACATAATGAGCGAAGATTCACGCTGTTAACGGTTCTTTGACACACCCTGACCTGTAAAATAAATGTTGGTGACGCTACGACTGTGTAGGTCTTTGAATTACGATTGCTTTACATTACCAGCATAGCCATCCGATCTCCGATTGTTCGGGTATCCAAGTGGCTAAAGCGTTCGCTTGTCACGCCGAAGAACAGGGTTCGATTCTGCATATGGTAGAATGTGTGGTCCCCAAATCCCCCCTAACGCCCGTGATATTGTTTTTCACCATACTCACTCAGTCACTCACTCACTCCACTTTAGTCCCAACATAGGTACGAAGAATCCTGGATAGCATCTGTAACTTTGACGTATATATTATACATATGTATATGAAATCGTTCTCTTCCTTGTTTCAGAACTTCTACATCCCAAAAGGCTGGCGAGTCATAGCTGGGATCAGAGAAACCCATGAGAACGACCCTGCTATCACTGACCCTCTGAGCTTCGACCCCGACCGTTGGCTCAATAGAGATACCAAGCCTGCATTCCTGGCCTTCGGGGGTGGCTCCCCGGGTCTGTCCGGGAAAAGAATACGCCGACATCTTGCTACGGGTGTTCATCATTAATCTGATGAGGACGTGGAATGTTGACATTGTAAAGGACTCTAGCATCACCATGTTTCCTAGTGTCAAACCCAAGGATAAAATGATTGTGAGCGTGACACGTAGGTAGCTGTTCCATGGAGTTAACACTGGCCAGAATACCGTAATGCAATCTTAGGAGCATCGTAAACTTACGCAAAACATAATGCTACGACTATTGCAAGGCCTCCTAATAGCTAGTATTTAGAAAACTATAGAAAAGCTTATCTTAGCTCTGTCCAACTCACAAAGTTAAGTCAACCATTGTGTTCAGACCTTTACATTACTCTACGCTTAGTGTTTCAGCTTACGTAAAGCAATTTTTGTGCCACGTATGTCGTAAAGAAACGCCAATGTCAACGTTACGATGTTTTCATTGTTGTAAAGTTACGCAAATCTTTACCCAGCGACAATCGTAAATTTACGACATAGTGCTACTACGACTGTCCTAAACGGCTGCACAAGTGCATGTATTTCTACCGCTGCACATATATTTGTTCGAGCATGAGACCGATCCACAAAGCGTTCGTAAGGTTACGACCTATCGCAGCTATTTACTTTACCATTGGCTTACGAATGGCATAGAGCTACGAACGTTTTGTGGATAGGGCCCCAGAGCTCTGAACATTGCGAGCCCGATCCAGTGATCCACAAGGGCAATATTAGTAGTAGTTCATTGTAGATACCATAACGCTAGGTCCATTAGTTAGAGCTTTAGGGTGAAACTCTGCATGGTCAGTTATGGCCATGGAAAACTGGACCCACTGCCCCAATGTGATACTTCATTTAAGACCCACATGCTATAGATGTCTTCAGTTAGATCAACTCACGGACTTTTATATCATCTGTGTGATGTAATTTCTGTTTTTCTGTGATATCCGCTCAGCGGAAATGTGCCATATTTTTACCTTTTGTCTGATAATTGTTATTTAAGCCGTTGAAAACGTTATTGTATTGTCCATGTGTTTGTAAACGTGACAAACATCATTCGTTATTTCAATAAAACACTTCTAATTAAGAGTTTTAAGTTGAGTATTTTGAGAGTGAATGAGTGTTATTTTAAGCCGCAGACAGATAATACCAAATCTATCTCTGCGATATGTTATGAGATGTAAAGCAAAATACAAAGATTGAGCCAGACAACCCAGAAATTGATGGCATTAGCGATGGTCGGAAGCGCCGAGGCGAAGTCACGCGATCCAGCTAAGTGCTTAGCCTTATTACAGGATCGGGGTGGGGGTGGTAGCCTAATGGTTAAAGCGTTGGCTCGTCACGCCGAAGACCCGGGTTCGAATCCCCACATGGGTACAATGTGTGAAGCCCATTTCTGGTGTCCCCCGCCGTGATGTTGCTGGAATATTGCTAAAAGCGGCGTAAAACCAAACTCAGCCAGTCAGTCAGTCAGTAATTACAGAAGCTATCAAAACGTTACTGGTCTCAATCCAGTCAAAGGAAAGGTCTAAAACACAAATATGATACTGTATCAACTGCGTCACCATTAAGAAAGGTATGATACTTCTTGGATAACAACTTCTTCATTATAAACTCTGTCAAAAAAGAAACGCAACCCCTGTATTTTAGAGATTTTGATCTGAAGTTTTAGGACGACACGGCATTTTTATTATTTAAGACAGAAGTCTGAAATTTGGCAGAATAATAACCCAGATGGGCATGTTTAAAATTGTTATTTCAAAAGTCATCTCACAGACACCAGTTTGTCACCAGGGGGGCGTCTTTCTCAGTATCTCGTATGAGCACCACTCCTCCTGCAGTGCAACGGCGAGCTGTTGCAGCGTCTGTGGCGGCGGCTGACGTTGACGTACGCGTCGATCCAGAGTATCCCACAGGTGTTCAATAGGGTTGAGGTCTGGTGATTTAGAGGGCCATGGCAAGACATTGACGTTGGAATTCTGCAGAAAGTTCATTGTTGCACGTGCTGTATGAGGCCGGGCGTTGTCCCGTTGAAAAATCTGTGTCTGTTGGTCAATAATCGGGAGAAGGTGAAGCTTTAACACGTGGTTGGTGTAACGTTGGGCTGTCAGGTTCCCTGGAACGATCACCAAGTCTGATTTCTGGTTGTATTCGGTCGTGACGTTGCAAAAGAAAACGTGATTCATCAGAAAACCAGATGCGCCTCCAGCTTTGTAAAGTCCGTATCCTTACGTTGTTGCACCACCTGAGTCGTCGGCGTCGATGTAGGGGGCGTAGTACAGGTCCAACAACTGGTCTACAGGCACGTAAACCCGCTTCTTTCAGACGGTTCCTAATCGTTTGAGCTGACACTCTCCTCAAACCTGGTATTTGTGTGGCAGTCACGGTTGGTAGGGCATGCCGATTACGCAGGTGATGGACCCGGATGTACCGATCTTGAAGGGGGGTCGTGATTCTTGGCCTTCCACTTCTCGGGCGATCGTTGGTCAAATTGAAGTTGTTGTAGCGGCTCCAAAGTCGGGATATCGTTGTTTTGTGAACATTTAGGTGCCGTGCAACAGTTCCAAAACTTTCTCCGGCTTTGAACACGACCAATGGCGATATTTCGGTCGGCAGCACTCAATCGTGGCATTTTTAACACAGCTTTTCGGCGACAAATGAATGAATATAATACGAAAGCACATGGGCTTTATACACCTCTACATTAACTGCCATTTCATGATTTGTATGTGGTTTTTGTGCGAAGTCACCATGAGGGTTATTTCATGCGTTGTGACGGAATAAGCAATAAAATACACTTATGCGTACAAATGCAGTTGTTTGGATGGTAATCTTCATTAATTACGTGTATAATTTCAATACATTCGAATAAAATTTAGTTTGGAAGCAATAACTTCATTCAAACGAATTTTCATATCTGGAGGACAGGGGTTGCGTTTCTTTTGACAGAGTTTATTATGATGCGACGTTCCGGTAAAGACACTCTTGCTTGTTGTTTCATTTTAAGGTACTATTCAGCATGTGAGTTCGATTTTTGCGGGGCATTTTAATTTCATAGGACATGACTTTTTAAAACCCAATGAAAGAATGTTTTTGGACATACACCAGGTTGCTCCCATGCGAATATACGTCAATCCATATCATTCTTGCACGCTGCAAATTAGAACATAATGCTCATCTCTTTTAACAATTTCAGAGCACTTGTTACATTGGACCGTATTTCTCAACATCAACTCCGATTGTGATCTTTATATATTTTGTTCAAATCAGGAATATATATTTAAAATCCAGCGTTTGGTATTTCAGAAATAAAATAGTTTTAATCTTCGGGAAAACACACCGTAATATTGAGATGCTTGTTGTGCATAGAAGGTCGTGGAATCGTGTGTAAAATCCCTCCCTTATATGTTTCCAAGCACCAAGCATCACGCCTTTAAAATGGAAGGCCGGCGATTCCTATTCTAGGAATTGGACATGATTAACCTTTTTCAGCATTGCAAGAGGGCAAAGACCCATTAAATATAGGGCCCAGCGTTTCACAGATTATTTTTGGGCAATTTCCATTGTGTAACCTATAGCAAAGTGAGCGTGTGAGTTAATTAGCTTTACGCCGCTTTTAGCAATATTCCAGCAATATCACGGCGGGAAACACCAGAAATGGGCTTCACACATTGTACTAATGTAGGGAATCGAACATGTGTCTTCAGCGTGACGAGCGAACGCTTTAACCGCTAGGCTACCCCATCCCCCCCTATGTGAGTGAGTGAGTGAGTGAGCGTTTTTTATACCGCAACTATACCAGTCTGACTGACTGACTGAGTTTGGTTTTACGCCGCTTTTAGCAATATTCCAGCAATATCACGGCGGGGGACACCAGAAATGGGCTTCACACATTGTACCATGTATGGATTCGAACCCGGGTCTTCGGCGTGACGAGCCAACGCTTTAACCACTAGACTACCCCACTGCCCCAACTATACTAGGAATATAACGGGGTGGGATACTACAAGTGATCTCCACAGACAAAGCCAGTACGGGTCGAATCCGGCTCTTCCTCATGGCGAGCGAACGCTTTAACCACTAGGGTAAACCACCGTCCCGCTATGGGAACGGGGTGGGATGTTAGGCAAGCGTATATATCACGAAATGAAGATTCATGAAGGGAATCGAACCTGGCGAAGGTGATCACCTTTACCGCCGGGCCAACTACCTCATTAGAAAACATTTTCCAAATCACATAATGAGTCACATAGAGCGTCCGCCCGGAGAGCGGAAGGTCGCGGGTTCGATCCCCGACCGCGTCATACCAAAAGACGTTAAAATATGGTACTTGTTTGTCCCTGCCTGGCGCTCGGTATTAATGGGTACAACAAGGACTGGTCGGCTCGGAGTCAGTATAATGTGTCTGAGTGGGGTATTCTTGCTTAACTGTGGCATGGTATCTCAGTGGGCTAGCACTATAAAACCAGCTTAAGTCTGGGCTAGTACAAGCAGCCGCACATACACATACACACGCATGCACGTCGTCATATGAGCGAAATATTCTCAAGCACGACGTTAAACCCAATTTCACCTCACCTCACATAATGAGTCACCAGCACAGGACAATGACCCAATCCACTGATGACCCTCTCTTGCACCAACCGGTACAGACACAGCCATGTTTCCCTGTAAATTACAGTGTTGGGCGTTGTCGTGGACAGTGTGTGTGTTTGAAGAGGTAAATATTTTGGTGGTCTACATATTACAGAGGGTTGAACATAAATCCTTGACAGGTAACGGATCTAAACTGTTAAGGTGTTTATCGCGTGATCAAGAGTGTTACGTCATCGCCTGCACGTGCTGCTGGGTTAGACTGTATGCAGTGCGGTGCACACTGCAGATGTCGCAGGGCAATATTCGCATATACAGCCCGTGTCGCTCGACCGTCACTGAACTGACACGTGTTTTGGGTAAGTGTCAGTGCCATCGGTGGTGCAGTCGGTTGAGGTGCCTGTAAATAATAGTTGGAAACATGCAAATCAGTTATTGAGAGTATGAGCGATGATCCTTGT